CCTCTTTTTTTCGCCACCAATGCAGTCGCTAGTCGTTGACTTCTGACGCTGAACACTTTCCCGTCTCGCCGAGCTTTCCCCGGGCTCCACTTGCATCGGCTCGATCTCCACTTTGCCCCTCTCCCATCCACCATTATTCCCCTGTCTCCCATTCTCCTGATACTCATGTTCCTCTAGCACAGGGGAGGGGGGACCCCAAGGCTGCATCATATTGATCAGAACACTGGGCTGACACCTGGTCGCGGCAAGCCTGTGTAAAAAAAAGAAAAATTGGAAGGAAAAAAAAAAAACATCGCCAGTGGTTGTAAGTCAAACACCAACGTAGTGAATACTAGTTAATTACTCGTAATCGGTTACTTAATAAGAAATAAAAAATAATATGTCAGATAATTTTTAGACTAAGACTGTCGCCCTTTCCAAAAAAAAAAAAAAAAAAAAGGAAGCCGACTAAGAGTCGAAGCTCAACCCCCACTACCTCAAATGGGTAAACAGGCCACCGGTACAAAAGGCTAATTCGAAGTTCTCAAACAACTTTTTTTTACAAAATTTATTATTATCATTTTTTTTTTTCAAGGCTAATTCCGGAAGAAGGTGTCCTGCAGTCCCCGCACAAAAATACAAACGATTGCAATCCGAAGTTCTCAAACAACTTTCTATTATTACTATTATTATTATTATTATTTAAAAAAAGGCTAACTCTTTAAAGCCCAGGCAATTCAATTACCTGTCAAATGAGGGTCGCCTACAAGTTCCTTATAAATTTCAAGATTAATATATATATATATCGTCAAATAGAACTGCAGAGGAAAACAACTGTCTCTTATACACATCTAGATGTGTATAAGAGACAGGTGTGTGTGTGTGTGTGTGTGTGTGGAGGGAATAAAAGTGGGCAGGAGGAGCTTGGTGGCATGTCTGTGTGCAGACAGAACAGTGGCATGGTTGCGGCTGTGGTGGGCATATGGCAACAGTAGCAGCAGGCAACGAGGAGCACGAAGGAGCATAGTTGGTAAACCCCGCAGAGGCCTCCTAGATCGGCACGCAATCTGGGCTGGTCAAGCGGCGGCAAGCCCAGACTCTGGGCCGAGGGCTGGTCAGCCACCAATCTCGACAGTCCACAGGCATGAAAGGGCCAGATCGGGGGCTGATCGTAAATTTTTGTGATCAGCCCAGAATCTGCAGTGTTCATGTGCGCGAACGGCCTGGAGGCAGCAGAGTTCAATAGTATTGTTCCTAGATGCATACTCTCTCTCTCTCTCTCTCTCTCTCTCTCTCTCTCTCTCTCTCTCT